TGCAATGGGAGGTACCATTCGGGTTTATCATGAGCAATTTGTTCAGGTGGAATCATTGTGATAAAGTTCTGGTCTAACAACTTTTGCACTTCCTCTTTACGACCTCGAAGCAACCCTTTTTCATAAACCCCTTTCAGCGGAGAGCATCCTCTTCAGAGCGATGTCGTAGTTGCTTCGTTTTGGAGGCCCTCCTTCTTTCCAGGGCATCTTCACTTGTATTCTCCCGTCGACCAAAGTAGTTGAAGCTGCGAGGGACTTCACGAACTTGCTCTCACGTAACACGTTTTCAGTGCAAGTACAGAGTTTGGTTGGTTTGACTCCAAGGAGGTCTTGGTGGAGAAGTTTCTTGATATCTTCCTCGACACTCACTGTCCCTACTTCTATTGACTGAATTTCAGATAGAGTGGAGCCGCTTGACTCGAACTGTCCTAGAACATACCATCCAAAGCAGTTTCTTTTCCCGATGGGCTCTCCAGGTTCTCCGGACACTGTGTGAATATCAATGAAGGCCTCTACGAAGTCTGTGCCAATAAGGAGATCTATGGCACCACCCGAGAGATGTATTTTATCGGAAACGTTCTTCAAATGGCTGTATTGTCCCACTGACTCTTTAGAAATTATTTTGGCACCACTGCAAGGTCTAGTTACGGTGTACACTTGAAGGGTCTTCGTAATATCTTCGTCAGAGGGCGAGGCAACCGTGATATCGATTATCTCAGAAGGTTCGCTTTTCTTCTTTCCACCCGCCAGATTCATAGTGAGACGTGTTGCTGCTCCATTTAAGCCAAGTCGACCAGCTGCACTTTTGGAGAGTAGGCTTGTGTTAGACCCGGAGTCCAACATGGCGAGAACTTCGACAAAGTTTCCGTTTTTGTTCATGACTTTAACTTTTTGCACAGGGCAAAGTCCAGTAACAGGTTTCAACTTGCTTTTCTGGTACACAGCATTCCCTTGGATGTTACCATTCGATGTAGTTGTGGGCCCTTGGAACTGACTTTGAAACGGTGGTGCTTTGGGATTCAAACTTGTGTTAGTTTCTCCAGTCTTCTCATTATGTAGGCACCGGTGATGGTTTTTTCTGCATTTGTCGCAGGTTGAGCCGTCTGGTTTCTTGCAATCGTTTGTGTGATGCGCTCTCAGACACTTGCGACATCGCCAATGTTGCTTTACAACCTCCCACCTTTGATTGACTGTTAGAATCTGAAACTTAGGACATGCAGCCAGGTGATGTTTGGTCGTACAGCCAAGAGGACATGTTTCATCGTCAGAATCCTCGCTGTTAGCGGCGTTATTTTCTGTCTTTTTGGGACCTTTGTCTCGGCGAATTTCGTTTCTTTCCACTGTGTTGCTGTTTGCTTTCCCTCGGGAACGAATACTCGCTTCTTGATGTAACCAGGTGATTAGATTGCTCACGGTTTCTTCTTTTCCTTCTCTTTTCATTTCTCTACCAAAATCTGAATTGTCACTTGGATCGAGTTTGGACAGAAGCTGGGACATGAGGAACGGCGCTTCAACTGACTCCAGCACAGGACACCCAATATTATCTTCCATGTCACTTACATAACAGGCTATTGTCGTGGCGAAATGCGTTAGGGACTTAGAATCTCGTTTGACTGCTTTAAGATTATTAATCTCGGTGTGCAGTTCGTCCATTAGTTTTCGTCTGTCTGCGAACTCTGTATCCAAAATAATCCACGCGCTGTCAATGGTTTTACAAGTTTTTACTTGGTCGGTCCAGAACGATCTTTTTGGCATTGCATTTCGAAAACGTTGCAATTGTTCATCTTTATCCTGACCGCATTTCTTCATCCAATGGCTGAACTCCTTTTTCCACGAGGCATAGGTTCTGCGAGTTCCGTCCCATACTGGTACAGGTAATCGTTGTAAACTTGAGTTTGACGGTTTTGATCCGATGTTATCGGCCATTTTCTGCACCGCCGACGTCATGGACGACATTGATAATGTTAGCGCTTCCAGAGTTGTCGCATTGTTAGAATTTTCTGAGGAGTTTTGTTCCTTTTGATATGCAGCAAACTTTAAAGTGATTTGAAGGGAATCAGCTTTGGTTTTGTCTCCAGTTTTCTTTGTTGCTAACACGAGTTCGCCTTCTGGGCCAGTGCCTTCGTTGACCAGTCTATCCAGAATTGTTTCCTGCTGTTTCTTGACCAGCCTGTACTTGGTTTCTACTAAACTGAATGCTGCTTCAAGTGTTTTTAGTTCCGGTTTTACGGAGAAAATTGTTTCGAATTCTTCCATTAATTCGTACAAGAGTTTGACGGCATTGTCCAGTTTTCCCGCGAGAGTTTTCACGTCTACCTTCGGCGGCATTGTGAGCGGAATTTAAATGCGAAGCTTGGCGGTAGTTAGTAACTCGGCGTAATCTTCTGCAACAAATTTTGACTGATTCGCTCCTGTGATTGAAGGGCTACTTTATGTTGAAGATTTCACCACTAACTGATTTTCGCGTACATGACCGTACATGGAATTTATTTGCACTTGTAGTAGTTTAGTCAACTGAAAAATTAAATTAATATGACAAAGAAGGTTATTACACATGTCGATTTCGGTTGAAGCGACGGGAAAATATTATACTTACAATTTGTGTTCCATATGCGGCTAGTAAGCTTCGAAGTGCGATCTGTGGTGACACTTTGAAAATGTAAGTTGCGTAACGAACTTCTAGGTTTTTAAATAATTAGTCACCTGATCTATTTTTGCCGCGTTGCGCTAAGATAGTTAAATATTCACAAAAAAATTCACAAACGGCTTGAAAAAATGCAAATCAGGACGTTTGGGCTTACTTATTATAGTTGACAGTTGTCGGGACAAGCCCACTGCTGACCAGAATCACACGGTCATGTAACGAGCTCATGGGCCATCAATTTAGGGCACTATGCACGTGTTGGCTCCTTACTTAGTGGGAAGTAGTGTAGTGGCTTAACCCTTCTTAGACTGGGGCTCAATTACTTTAAAACCGCTCAATCTTACAGGAATAAAGTCTCAATGCTCATAAGTCTAAGGGAAAAAATGCATTTCCACAAATATTTTGAGGAACATATCACTAATACCAAAAAAAAACATGGCAAAGTATAAATCGGAACTCACAAATCGACAGAAGAAGAAACAAAAAGCTATTTTTGCTCCAAAACGCCAGAGAAGTAATAAACTATTAAATGATCCGACTGAATTCCCAAATATTTTCAATAATAATTTCTCATCAGTTGGCCAAACTCTATCCTCTAAAATGCCAAAGTCATCCTCTCAGTTTACTTCATACCTTCCAAGATTAAGTAATCCAGGCTCTTTCATTTTTTTGTCCAGTAAGGCCCAAGGAAATTGAAGAGGAAATAATGACGATGCCGTCAAATAAAGCTTTTGGATCATACTCCTTACCTTTCCGCATCTTAATTAGCTAGTCACATTATGTTATCCTCTATCATTCATAATAAACAAATCAGATAAAACCACCATCTATCCCTCTAAACTAAATTAAAGCATGCCAAAGTAATACCTGTTTCCAAAAATGATGACGAGACCATTCCATCCAGTTACAGGCCAATATCACTCCTTTCCGTTTTCAACGGAATTTTCGAAAAACTCATGTATAATCGTTCAAAGGTATATCTAGACGAGCAAGGAGTATTTTATAAATCACAGTATAGATTCCGCGATAAGCATTCCACACAGCATGCCATTCTTGACTTAATAAGCCAAATACAAACAAATATGGATCACAAACTTTTCTCGTGCGGTATCTTTATAGATCAACGAGAGGCATTCGAAACGGTCAATCACTCCATATTACTAGAGAAGCACTACGGTGTTCGAGGCATTGTCAACGAGTGGTTTTCATCATATCTGACGAATCGTACCCGGACAACTCTGGTTGGGCTTGAAATATCGGACAAAGCAGTCATGTTAGCGGGTGTTCCCTAGGGTTCGGTCCTTGGACCATTACTTTTTCTACTATATGTTAACGTATGCAAAATTGTTCCGATAAACTAAAGGTTTACCTATTCGCTGATGACACAAAACTGCTTTACGCCGACCGAAATTTGAAATCTCTTGAGACTGTTGTTAATTGTGAACTTCTTAGCGTATATCTGGTTAATTGCAAAAAAATTATCTTTAAACACTGAAAAATGAAACTTTCTTATTTTCCACCCTTACCAAAAAAGGCCCAACCACCAAGTAAATCTAAAAACAATTTTGACCATTATTCTAAAAAATTCATTCCTCTGGAATGCAAAACTTTACATTAAGTACTTGGGGGTGCTCATTGCTAACAATTTGACTTGGAAGCAACACAGTAATTATATTAATGGAAAAAAATAGTTAAAAAAAAACGGCATAATTGCTAGACTCAGACACTTCGCACAGTTAAATACCCTCCAGACTATTTATAAAGCCCTATTTTACCTCTTATTTGTCATATGGTATAATCGCCTGGAGACAGGCGGCCAAGACTCATGCTAACCATTTTAGGCAACTGTTTTTGCTGCAAAGGCGTGCCCTTCGTTTGATGCACTTTGGCCAATATACAGCTCACGCGATTCCATATTTTTTGTCCTCTAATTATTCTTCCCCTAAACATGCTCTATTTCAAATCAGTTGCTATTCTCATGCACGATATCACAAACAATTTAGCACCATAGAATATTTCACGGTTATTCAACGCTACTGGTCAAGTACACGCTTTTAACACTAGCTCCTCGTCAAGAGGTGATTAAGAAATTGGAAGATGACTACAAAACAGGTTGTCGAAACGTCAGTCACTGTCAACAACAACAGTCCTATATATTCAGGACTACGTTCACCCGGACGATCAAACTCAATCTTTAATATTTACTCTGGAGTAAATTTTTGAGGGAAAAATCTGGGGCTAAATTTTATTCGCGGGAACTTGTTTTTGCGGATCGCTGAAAAAAAGTGCAATAAATCGCAAAAATTAGAACCCGCAAAAGTTTCGTGCCACACGGTATATGCCCGCAAAGTGTTCATCAGTCATCCCGTGTAAGGGAATCCAAGACAGTCATGAAATCTGGGTTCCAAGATGTGGATTCCAGATTCAATGTAATGGACAGTAGGTTATCTGCTAGTGTACTTGGATTTCGGATAACAATTATAGCAGAATTCCGCATATTTTGAGCTGTGTTTCGTATGCCAAAGCCCAGGATTCCTGAAACCACAAGCAAAAATTTCTCGCATTCCGGAATCCGGAGTGAACGAGAAATAATATGGCCAGCTGAGCTGGACCTGGGAATTAGTGCGTTTCGAACTTCCTTTCATTCTGATTGGCAAATCAACAATGGCGTTTTTGACCGGTCAATCCTGACGCGTATTCAAATCTTGGTACACAAGTGGGGGACTAGAACAAGGATTTCGGCGCTGTTTCGCAGACAGAGTTTAGTTTCCACTATGGCGCATGCTAAGCTCCAATTCGTAGATAATTGTATCAGGTAGCCAATGGGTAACCAGAGGACTTTGATTTGTAGTTAGAAGTGCTGTGCACACTGTGCTGTGACATCTTAATCTGATTAAAAAAAATAAGAACGCCCATGAACAGTCCTCTTAAATTTAGGCCATGTCTAGCCTGCGAGTAAGCTCTCCATTGGGGCGAGCAGAGCGATCGAGTGTCGCAGCCTCGAGAGATATCGCTCGCGCGTGTGCTCGACTTTTTAAGATATTTCCCAAATGGAAATTTTGCTCGCAGGCTAGACAACCTTGCCTAATAGTCACAGTGTAGAGCATCATTCCTTAAGTTAAATTAAAAAAGAAAATCATGAAAATGTCGGGCATTACCTTGTATCTGTCAGGCACCCTGGCCTATTTTGAGGTTTCTACCCTGTTTAAAGGGATAGCAAAGGAAATAATGTGATGGGAAAAAATGTTTAACTTTTAACACGGATACTTCTTGTTTTAGCTCAAAGATAAAGTTTCTATTTGTCTTCGGTCTCCTGGGGGACTTTTGTAGAAATATACCTGCTCCGCAAAAAGTAAACACTTTTTGATTTTCTTTACTCTTTTCTTTCTTTATCTGTGTTTTCTGTGAGCAACTGGCTTTCTTAATCTTCATTCCCAGGCGAAAATAACGCTGGAAAACAGACAGTAATACAATGAATTCAAATTACAGAGTATTTGCTATTCAACTTAAGAAGGCGCATTCATATACTGAATTGATCGTTCTGTTGATTTCTTTTTATCATGCTGAGAAATGTGAAAGGAAGGTGTATGTGATATCAAGATTCGGAGCAGGTACCTGGACATGATAATAATTTCTCTATTTTCTAATTGACTTTAACCTAATTGAACCTTAAATAAAAAGATGAAAATCTTTTATTTTCATGGAAGTGTAAATTTCTTTATTTTTGTTATTCTTACAATCTTTCTATATCACCTGTGAAGGCAACCATGTTACAACGTGTCGCAGGCATTTTCTTATTTTCTCTCCAAGTCGTGATATAAGTGATGCTCTGTGGTTAATAATTAACTAAACCGCTCAAGTGGTGTTTACTCGGAAATTAGCAGTCATCTTGTTAAGGCCGAGGGCTATCACTAGGAAGAAGACTTCAAAGGTCTCAGTATCCGTAAGTTAATGACTGCCTTTGATTGGTGACGGTCACGTCTTCACGTTCATTAAGTGACCGAATTTTATAACTGTATTGTGTCACTATGACAATTTTATTCATTTACATGATGTCGGGATCTCTCCAAGTCAGTAATTTGCAGCCAAGCTCCAAAACTAAGTTAAAACCCTCTCCTTAACTTGTACAAAAGTTCATACCTTAAGAAAAAGGGTGGTGCAGTGGTGAGAGCTCTCGCTTCCCCACCAATGTGGCCCAGGTTCGAATCCTGGGGTCGTCAACATATGAAGGTTGAGTTTGTTGTTGGCTCTCTCCTTTACTCCGAGAGGTTTTTCTCCGGGTACTCCAGTTTT